CACCCGCCGGGCTCAGGTCATATCACCAGCCTTCCCTCCCCCAAAAAAACTGGACTGTTGGCGGACCCGCGATACCACAATTAGCGCCTACCCTAGGACATGGGCTCGTGTGTTCCCCTTACCGTGTAGAACTCTTCTTCAATAAAGAGCCAATAAGAGAGAGAGAGGGAGAGAGAGAGAGAGAGAGAGAGAGAGAGAGAGAGAGAGAGAGAGAGAGAGAGAGAGAGAGAGAGAGGGAGGGAGAGGGAGAGAGAGAGAGAGAGAGAGAGAGAGAGAGAGAGAGAGAGAGAGAGAGAGAGAGAGAGAGAGAGAGAGAGATAGAGAGAGAGAGAGAGAGTAAGTAAGAGAGAGAGAGAGAGAGAGAGAGAGAGAGAGAGAGAGAGAGAGAGAGAGAGAGAGAGAGAGAGAGAGAGAGAGAGAGAGAGAGAGAGAGAGTAAGAGTTAGAGTAAGAGAGAGTGAGAAATTAACCCCTTGCCAACGGGGATGGCATGTACGTACATACCATGCCCACTGTGAGTCGACTTGTTTGATTGTTTTTACACATAGATGGCTACACTTGTACTAAGTCGCCAGTGAGCCAATTACGAGTACTGCCCGTTCACCCTTTTCATCGATTTACGAAAATATTTAACGTTATCCTATTTTGCTGTTAAAAATAACACCATCTATATTTATAGCACTAGTAAGAATACATTTTTTCCCGCCAATTCAAGGAAAGGTGAAATCAGGACTAGCAGAGCCATCTATGTATAGAGATATTTCACAAAAAAAAAAAAAAATGAGTACAGGATTTTCCCCATTTTTTATTCATTTTCCCCGGCGGCAATGGGCAGAGAGGGGGAGAGAAAGAGAGTGAGAGTGAGATAGTGAGAGAGAGATAGCGAGATAGAGAGAGCGAGAGAGAGAGTGTGTGTGTAATGGCTACGACTGATGGTTGAATAAAATATCTGGTTTATTCTAGGCTAGAAGCTATGGGAGCTTGAGGTGTTGAGCGAGTTTTTAAGGTGATCACAGGTCGTTTTTGTACGACACTGGATGAAACTAACCATAAGAAAATGGAAAATATTAATCTTCAATAAGAATGTACACGTAGGCCCTATGTACAGAACGGCTTTTATAAAGTTCTTATGGTCACATGGTCGGACGAGGACGTATGTTTGTACAACTAAAAAGCTTCGTGATAAGAGAGGATGTCGCTAGAAATATGTGAACATATTTATAACTAGAGTATCGACAGTAATAATGATTACAAATGCTGTTATGTAGATAGTGCAATTTCTGATAAACATTTTGAGTATATGCAAGATATAAGTTTATGTATAGTTATAAAGTAACCGGCGAGAGTGATGGTAACAGTCGGAATAGCATGCTCTGGAGGCAGTTCGTCATTATCATCTCGTTCGGTGTGCAGGACGAGTTGGCGTCGGCGAGTACTGTATAGTGTGGGAGGCCTAGGGTGAGGAAGAGGTGAGAAGTCATTAAAAGAGAGAGAGTGAGTGAGGGAGTGAGTGAGTGAGTGAGGGAGGGAGGGAGGGAGTGAGTGAGTGAGTGAGTGAGGGAGGGAGTGAGTGAGTGAGTGAGAGAGATGAGAGAGAGAGAGAGAGAGAGAGAGAGAGAGAGAGAGAGAGAGAGAGAGAGAGCGAGAGCGAGAGAGAGAGTGTGCGAATGAGAGAGACTTTGACTTTAACAAGTTTATTGAGACAAAAGGTTACATCTCAAAAGGATGAGGTAACGTAGGTTATCCTCACCCCCATCTTAATAAGTCCCTGTGTGCATCTTGAGTTTATGAATAGCTTAGAATAGATTAGAGTCAATGGTTTACATATTAGTAGAGTGATATAACACGATAGTTTTCCACCCACATCTTGATAAGTCCTCATCGGGCCTTTATCGTGCCCTTGTATTTTTTATTTTGAATGGTTGCCCACTCGCCTTGTACCACTTCCCATTTTTTAAAGAGAATTTCTTTCTCACACACCACACTGTGCAGGACCACAAATATTTATATTTTCTTCCTTTCCCTATCTTTGGGGGGAGTTTCTTTTACAGCCACCTCTCCCTTTTTCTGTTCTTCGGCATCTTTGTCCACAGCTTGTTCCAGTTTCTTTTCAATAATATCCATCCTCTATATCACATCTGCCTGCGTGGTGGCAGAGGTGCGATTCCTTTCTGGGGAACCGGCGAGATAATCTTACGTTGCGGCCTCACTCATGCCAGGGGCCCGGCATTGTGGGAGCCTTCGCAGTTGCAGCAGCAAGGCTTAACCCTTTCTCGCCCAACAGAGAGTCGGGGTATTAGAAAATGATCACTTTCGTGAGCTTTTCCCCAGCCTTTGGGACAGTCATCACTGTCCCCTTGTATCCCTTCATACCGTGAGATACAGCCTCCCTCTGCCTTCCTTCATAAGTGGCTCGAAATCACGGAGGTCTCGGCCCAGTTCCATAGCCCACCTTAATTCCTCCAGGAAACTCTTGGCGCAGTCCTGTGGGATAGCAATAA